TGCTGCTTGGCCTGCTGTATTCATCCAGCTCCACACCTTGTTATCTCTATTCCTGGATATGATCAGTTTTGGATAACTGAAATTTGATCAACTCAGGGATCACTAATAATAATTTACTAAAAAATACAAGTCACTCAACATTACATCATTTTAAACAAAAACAGAAATTCAGCTCTGGCAGCATTTTTAGAATTATATATGCACATTGAAGGCATATCTTATTTTTAAATGAATCCCACCAGGTTCCTGTTCACAGCAATGAATGTATTTAATTTTCTTAAAGTCAGAAAAAATATTCTGAAGAAATATTCACAAACTAGGTGGTAATGGTTAATTCTCTAGTAATCAGATCGTAGACCTAAGTGGGAACTTTAAACTTCCAATGGCTAACTCCTGATTCTTCAGTGTCCTGTAAAAATGGCTTGGGTCAGATCCATGTGACTTGTCTTAATAGTTACCAAAGAAATTTAATTCTATTTAAAACTCACCTGTCCTGGGTAACTCCTTTTCTTGTAGACTTGCTCGCCGAGCCAGTGTTCGATTGCAGATGTTCTGTCACCCTGTTAGGTAACATCATCAGGGCACCTCTGGTGAAGCACTGGTGTTCTGTCCTGTTTGCTGGGTGATTAGAATCAGCAGCAAACAGAGGCTTATAAATAACAAGCAGAACAGAACACCAATGCTTCACCAGAGGCGCACTGATGTTACCTAACAGGGTGACGAAACGTCTGCAACCAAACACACCAGCTCAGCGAGCAAGTCTACAGCTTCATCCACAACCTGAGCTACAAATCTTCTCAAAAACTAACTCTCCCAGCTCCCATTTTGAACTTGCACTGAAGTTCTGGCCTTTACCTAGTAGAAAAAGCTGGTTGGTGCTAGTAGTTCCATCTGTGCTGATCAGCTTTTGTCAATAAAAGATATTACAGGTGCTGGAAATGTGAAATAAAAGCAAAATATTAGAGAAACTCAGCAGATCTGGCACATTTGTGGAGACAAAGACAGTTAATGTTTTGAGCTCCGTGCCTTAAATGTGAGATCCCTTACTCAGACTATGCCCTCTAGTACTAGGCTCTCCCATGAGCAGAACCAACTTTTCCACATCTACCCCCTTAAGAATCTCTCATTTCAATCAGGTTGCCTCTCATTCTTCTAAACTCCATGAATCCCGTGTTCCAAAGAAGTCATGGGACTTGAAACGTTAACTGTTTCTCTGTCTGCAGATGCTGCCAGTTTGTCCAGCACTATGTTAAAATTGCACAAGAGAAATAAAACCATTGTAGAGTATTTATTTTTAAATTTATTTCATTTTAAAGATTTAATTAAATCTAGGGATTTAGGAATGTAGATTTTTTTTCTGCTAAGATCAATGCACCTAAACTGAACACTAACTTTTATATTTAGTAATTTATTTTAAGTTATTTCAGCTAGGAATAAAAATAAACAGTATTTCAATCTGTACACCTTTTTCCAGTTAAAAAAATGTCTGAAGGAACCTAACTAATTTTAACAGATTTATGTAGGAAACCTGGCCTCATTTACAGTTGGTGTTCCCGATAATTGTGACTTTAAGTGAGGACTAATCATAAATGCATATTAATAGTGACTAGTATTTTCTTCAAGTATTCACTGCCATCTGAATAGATATTGTTGACATCACTTAAGGGTCTCTTCTGACCTGTGTATTTAGCTGCAGCAATTTTGCTTCATTAAGTGTAATTAATAGAATCTATAGAAGTCAAAAGGATTTAATCTGCCTCTGTGCTATGAGCAAAATTCCTGACCCAAACAAAGACCATTAGAAACTTTATCCAAGTTTTCTCCTTCCCACACCAAACCAATCCTGCCTCTCTCAATATGAAAAGGGGAGCACAGACTCTTAGAAAGATGTGGTTAAAAAAGGTTTCTTAGTAACCATAATTGATGTCATGAACATATCCCAGCCAGATGGACTGTAGTGGCTTTTTCCAATTCCATTCATTGCTGCTCCCATTTGGGGAAGTTGTGTTGGAAGGTTTAGGGTTTCAAATTACAAGTCATATAAATTTGAGTTCTACAGAGTCATCCTAGAAATGTGGAAATGAAGACGCTGGTGTCGATATTAAGGGTTGCATGCCACCAACGATCTGGAAAATACAACACCTACAAAAGGAAAGAACAAGTTTCAATTAACATTACAAACATCTCAAGGAGGTAGAACATGACATGATAAATTAGGTGGGCTCTATGTCCAGTGCACCACAGTATAAATGTTAACTTCTCTCCATAGTGTTGTAATCAGTGAAATCTCACATCTCACCCACATACTCCTAAAAATATTACTTTGACAGACTGTGTTGAAATTTAACTGGAAGCATCACAATCAATACCAATACCTACCCTTTCATTCCTGAGCTCATTCTTTGGAATTCCTTCACTATCCACCTTTTAACACCTTAGAATACATTTCGGTTACCCCTCTTCATATCTCTGAATTGGTGCCAATTATTACTCTTAGAACACAAGACCATAGAAACAGGAATAGGCCATTGAACCCCTTTAGCTGCTCTGATGTACTTCACGTTTTCCTGCTGTTGCCCCGTAATCCTTTACTGATCAAGAATTTGTCTATATCAGCCCGAAATATATGCAAGGACTTTGCCCTGACAGCTCTCTGTAGCGAGGAGTTCCAATGACACGCAACCCTTGAAAGAAATCCCTCCTTGTTTCAGTCTTAAATTGACACCACTTTATCCTGATGCTATGCCTTCCGGTCCTAGACACTTCCATGAGAAGAAACATCCTCTCAGCACTTAAGAATCCTATGTTTCGATGAGTTAACCCCTCATTCTTCTAAATTCTAAAGAATCCCAACCTGATTAACTTTTGCTCATAAAGCAATCCCTCCATATTCAGGATCACTCGGGTGAACTACTTAAAGGCTGTGTCGTAAACACAAGTTTCTGGTGTCCTTGGCAATTGTGGATTGTATAAAATGGACAATGTTTTGGCTTACCTCGCCTGGGTGAATGGTGCACTCCATGGGTTTGTCCAATTCTGATAAATTCGGGTAAGTATCCAACATCCAAGAGAGTGTGGTCCTATTTGGGTGAAACTCTGGTGTTTTTCCCGGTGGGTAAAGAAACCAGCGCTGTCCAAAATATTTAAATTGAAATTGGAACAAACGAGTTGACCCAGATTTAGAACACTTAAAAATGTGCACTCAAGTATATTTCATTACTGAGGTCTAAAATGTACAGCTTTCTGAAAAACATCACAAATCTCTTGTACTAATTTCTGTGTACCCACTGACAATTGCTGCAGAGTCTATTTAATCCAGTAGTTTATCACAAAAACAGATCACTACAAAGGTACCATTCACTTATATCATCAAAACAGGGATAAACCCTTTGAATAGGATTCTGAAAGCAGAAGGTTGGAAACAGTCTGAGCATCAAAAGTCACCTATTTGTAATCAGCTGACAGAGTGGAAAGAAAGAACAAGGGAAAGCCTATTGGGTTTAGGGAGGGAGGGAGGGAGGGAGGGGAAAGGGCATCATCAGAACATATGCAACCTTCACCTGGCCTATCTCTGACTTTTCTCTTCTGACTCCATTTCTAGCCATTGGCTGTCTACTGTTATTAGTAACAAACCCTAACTATATCTAACACCATGCTTCCTGTAAGAAGTCCATTTTATTCTGTTTCTGTCACATTTGTTCTCATGGTCTTATCTTCCATACAGCGCTTCCAACGTGTCCTCCTTTCTCCTCAAATGAGGACTCCCACAACCATCATCCAACCTCCTTCCTCTCCCTCCCAGAACTATGATAGGGTTCTGTATTCAAAGGATCATACTCCACAATTTCAACTGCCAAGATGTTACCAAACACATCCTGCCCTCCCCGATCACCTCCAACACCTCATCACCCTCACATTGCAACTTGCCATCATTGCAGATGGTATTATTTCTGCACTTTTATATCTTCCCTCCTCACCATCCAATGCTTCAAACACTTAGATAAATTAAGTATTTAGTTTTGCTTTCAATCTAGTCCACCATCTTCACTGCTCACAGTTCAGTCTCTTCCACACTGAGGAGGCTAAATGCAAAGTGGGTGAGAGGGCTTGGAATGATAACTGCACTCGGTTTGTAAGATGGCCTTTTGGTCACTTGCCATTTTAACACGCCATCTTGCCTTAAGCTCACATTTCCATCCTGAGCCCCCTGCAGTGTTTTAGTGAAGGCCAACACAAGCTGGAGAAACAACACCTTTGTTTTTCATTTAGATACTTTAAAGCCTTCTAGACTCCACATTGATTTCAACAAATTCAGAATACAAACTCGGTCCTCCGTTTTCTTTCTTCTGGCTCCCCCAACACTTTGTTCTGAATTCGCCGATGAGAGGAGGCATCCTTTCCACGTTTATCTTGTCAAAACTGCCCAAGCTGTCATTCAATCAAGTAACCCCTCACTCATCTGAATTCAGTAGAAAAAAAATTAGTCGATCCAATTCATCCCAGATATTGATCTTATTAACTTTCTCTGAACCTGTTTCCAATGTATTTACAGCTTTCCTAAATACTATTTACGGTATTCAAGAGGTGGTCTCTCCAATTCCCTATAAAACTGAAGCATAACATCCTTTCTATTATGCTCAACTCAGTTTGTAATTAAAGATAGCATCCCATTAGTTTTCTTGATCCCTTGCTTTTATCACTGAAAGAAGTGTTCTTCATTTCAAATTTACACACGTTATACTCCCAACTGCCAGATTAAAAATTACCCATCTTCGGGAAAAGACAACTACCATCAACTATATCTATACCTCTCATTATTTCATAAACTTCTATCAGGTCACCGCTCAACCTCCTACACACCAGTGAAAAAGTCCCAGCCTATCCAGCAATTGGTGTAAGGCAAATTATAATGATACGAGAGAAGAATTTTTAGAAGTTAATTGGAGTAGAATGTTCGCAGGTAAAAGGACATCTGACAAGACTGCAATGACAAGAGGTCAGATTCATTTTGTTCCAGTTAGAGTGAAGGGTAAGGCTGGTAAGATAAAGGAACAACGGATGAATAAAGATATTGCGGTTCTAGTCAAGAATAAAATAGAATTTACTTCAGATATAGACAACTTGATTCAATTGAATCTTTTAGTGAATATAAAGAGTGCAGGGGCATTCTTAAGAGAGAAACCAGGAAAACAAAGTGGAGATTATGAGATAGCATTGGCAGATAAGGTTAAGGATAATCCAAAGAGATTCTACAAATACATTAAGAGCAAGAGGGTAACTACAGGGGGGGACTGGGCCTCTTAAGGATCAAGGAGGTCAGCTTTGGTGTTGAACCCCAGTAGATGGGAGAGATTCTAAATGAATAATCCAAAGATGATGACCTTTGAGATTTTGCTCTTCAGTTGGGTGCCCAGCTCCTCATACTTTCTATGCAGATATCTTTCATTGCCCCGTCTGTGCCGCAGCTATGTACACAGACTGTGACAACTGGATCCTCTCCCTTTCCTCAAAGTTCCTGTCCAGGCCTGAGCAGAAGTCCTGTACCCTGGCACCGTAGGTGACAAACTGCTGGACTCGAGTTCTTGGCTACACGAATGTTATCAAAACGCATTATACTGTTCCCTAATATCACTACATTGCCTTTTTCTCCCCACTTGAATGGCTTCTTGTACCATGGTCATCAACTCATCCTCATTCAAAACAGCAGAAAGAACCTCAAACTAGTAGGACAGTTACATAGGCCGAGGTTCCCGTACTCCTGACTTCTGGGTCTCCTTACTTGCTTCATTCACAGTCGTAGTCTTTTCTCCTAACTACTGACTAAATCAGAAGACCCTTTCCTGGTTCAAAATATCCAGGTAACGTTTCCTCTACCTGATGTATATTGCACCTTGCAGTATCTGTAGTTTGCTCTCTCGATCACGAAGTCTCAGCTGAAACTGTTCCAGCCATAAATTATTGCTGATGTGTTTGTCCCTGTTCATACTGGCATCCAGGAGCTCCCACGTGTTATATCTGTGACACATCACCTGTCCAGTCATCCTCACTGCTTTTTCTAAATTAAGTACTTAAATAATTTATTCAATTACGTGTTCCTTTTTATATATTTTATTAATTCTACCACCAACCACCATTTCAAAAGTTAACTTTGAATTCCAAAGAGACATATTAAACTCGAAGCCTTAACTATGTTTTTCTGCCCATAGATTCTGCCAGATCTGCTGAGTTTCTCCAACACATTGTTTTTATTTTAGATCTCTAGCATCCACAGTACTTTGCTTTTAGTTAACTTCTGATTTTTTTTTTTCGGAAGTTAGAACCATAGAGATTTACAGAGATAATCTGACCCATTGCTTTATCAGATAACTGGCAGATAAGCTAAACTAAATCCCATCACTCTCCTTAGCTTAGTATCTTCCTTGGATTATTTTTATCCAGAAGCTTATTATCCCTGCCTCTAGTGCTCCCTGTTGCATTCCATACTCAGATAACACTGAGCAAAGTGAAATTTCACCTGATCTCTTATCATTATCTCCCTATCTCGATGGAATCTTCTTTCTCCTTTCACTACATCAATTCCTTTCACAATTTTGATCGAACTTTAGTCTGACAACCCTGATATCACGCTACTGAAACTATGCTGTACACCCTACGACATTAATCTTCTTCTGTGATTGAGTACCCAACATTCATATACTTCTCCTGTAGCCTTACCACTGTGTTGCACAAATTTATAAACATCTTCACTCTTATGTAAAACCCAAAATGCTATTAGTTTTTCTTCTAAAACTGATGTCACATACTTTTGCAGGAATTTGCAAAAACGTATATGTTTAAACCTCTAGGCTTCTCTGTTCCTTCATGCCTTTCAGCATCTTTCCATTGAGTTCACGCTCCTAATCTTTGTTTCTCATCTTCAACTACAACCGCTCACACTTATCTGTAATAAACTGCATCCTCCACCTGCCTTCCCAAAGAGTTGGAGAGGTGCTGTTCGAAAGGATGGTAGAATCAGACTCAATTGTAATTGCTGAACGGAACTGGATATATGCTTGAAAAGGAAAAACCTGCTGGGCTATGAAGAAATGTTGAAATTAAACCGAATACATCCTTCAAAGGGCTGACAGAGGAACAATTGTCTGAATAGTTTTTGCTGTTTAATGCTTGTATAAGTTGCAAATTATATCAGATTCTCACCTTCCTTCCGTATATAACTTCAGAATATCCTGCTCCATGCCAGTGGAATGGCACTCCTGTCCCTGCACCTAAAAACACATCCACCACAGAAAGAAAACACTTTGTAGTTACTCCTTCATTCCATTCCAAATGATATGCAACGAAGTCTATGAGAATGTGCTTCCTTTATTTACCAAAATTCACTGGACTCTGGGGTGGTTCCCGCAGATTGGAAAACAGCCAATGTGACGCCACTGTTTAAAAAAGGAAGTAGACAAAAAGCAGGTAACTATAGGCCAGTTAGCTTAACTTCGGTAGTGGGGAAAATGCTTGAATCTATCATTAAGGAAGAAATAACAAGACATCTGGATATAAATTGTCCCATTGGGAACACCCAGCATGGGTTCATGAAGGGTAGGTCATGTTTAACTATTTGGTGGAATTCTTTGAGGATATTACTTGCAGGGTGGACAATGGGGAACCTGTGGATGTGGTGTATCTGGATTTCCAGAAGGCATTTGACAAGGTGCCACACCAAAGACTGCTATACAAGATAAAGTTGCACGGTATTACAGGTAATGTATTGGCATGGATAGAGGATTGGTTGACCAATAGAAAGCAAACAGTAGGTGTAAATGGGTGTTTTTCTGGTTGGCGGTCAGTGGCTAGTGGTGTGCCTCAGGGATCAATGTTGAGACCTCAATTGTTTACAATTTACATAGATGATTTGGAGTTGGGGACTAAGTGTGGTGTGTCAAAATTTGCAGATGACACTAAGGTGAGTGGTAGAGCAAAGTGTGCAGAAGACACAAAGTCTGCAGAGGGATATAGATAGTCTAAGTGAGTGGTCAAAGGTCTGGCAGATGGAGTACAATGTTGATAAGTGTGAGGTCATCCATTTTGGTAGGAATAACAGCAAAATGGACTATGTTTTAAATGGTAAAAAATTGCAGCATGCTGCTGTGCAAAGGGACTTGGGTGTCCTTGTGCATGAATCGCTGAAGGTGGGATTGCAGGTGCAGCAGGTGATTAAAAAGACAAATGGAATTTTGTCTGCCATTGCTCGAGGGATGGAGTTTAAAAACAGGGAGGCTATGCTGCAGCTGTATAGGGTCCTGGTGAGGCCACACCTGGAGTACTGTGTGCAGTTTTGGTCTCCTTACTTGAGAAGGGATATACTAGCACTGGAGAAGGTGCAGAGGAGATTCACTCGGTTTATTCCAGAGTTGAGAGGGTTGGATTATGAGGAGAGACTGAGTAGACTGGGATTATACTCACTGGAATTCAGAAGAATGAGGGGAGATCTTATAGAAACATATAAGATTATGAAGGGAATAGATAAGGTGGAGGCAGGGAGGTTGTTTCCGCTAGCAGATGAAACTAGGACTAGAGGGCATCACCTCAAAATAAAGGGAAGCAGATGTAGGACTGAGGTCAGGAGGAACTTCTTCACCCAAAGGGTTGTGAATCTGTGGAATTCCCTGCCCAGTGAAGTGGTTGAAGCTACCTCATTGAATATTTTTAAGGCAAGGCTAGATAAATTTTTGAACAGTAAAGGAATTAAGGGTTATGGTGAGTGGGCGGGTAAGTGGAGCTGAGTCTCAAAGATCAGCCATGATCTTATTAAATGGCGGGGCAGGCTCGAGGGGCCAGATGGCCTACTCCTGCTCCTAGTTCTTATGTTCTTTATACCTATGATAAATAAGTATGATAGTCACAGGAGAATATTACTGAATATCATTAACACCGTTCCCAGGACATTTGTCCTTTAATAAAGGCTAGGACTGACACAGCAAATCATTCTCTCAAATAATTAGGCCTCTCTCGAAATTAAATCTCTGACATTTAGGTAAATAAGAGACTCTGTCCTTGCTACATTTTATTTCAGTGACTCCTTGGTCTCCACATAACAGTGTACGCAGCTAGCAACTTACTCCCAGATTTTTACCTGTGACTCTCAAAACAACCATGTACAAAGTCAGCAAGGGCAGCCAGAGGGAATTGATTCTTTTCATTTTACCACCCTCCCTCGTGAAGATTAAGCCCCTCCTATATTTTCCATTTCAATGGCAAAGACTGGCTTTCCATGTATGCAAAATCCCAAACAAAATGACTAAAGGTTAAAGTTGGATTGAACTTTGCAGTAGACAACACAGTGTGGAGCTTGAAGAACACAGCAGGCCAGGCAGCATCAGAGGAGCAGGAAAATTGATGTTTCGAGTCAGAACCCTTCTTCATTTCTGTGTTCCTCCAGCTCCACGCTGTGTGGTCTCCGACTCCAGCATTTGCAGTTCTTGCTATCTCCATTTGAATTGTGCAGTAGACCATTTGACCCTTGCTTCAAACTAGTCCATGTAATACTGTCATTGGGTTATCCGTTACATGACCACTTCTGACCTCTTTGAGATTAGCCACAGACTGAAATCAGTCTAAAGAACATGTTCCAATCTTGGGCAGAGTCTTGCTTCAATGAAGGTTTCAATGTCAGATATATTTGGCTTTGATTATCAAGAAGACTGTTTTTAAAAAGATGTCTGATCTCTTTTCTAACATTACCTCACTGCTTTACTGCTCCTGTTACAGGTCCAGATCTTGTTCCTCCTATATCTAACAGCTCTGTCTCACTATGCTTTCTCTCATAATTGACTCACTTTTAGTTGTCCTCTCCTTCACTACTGGTTCAAAGTTATAACTTTGCCTCACAAATTCCTGCCAGCTTCAATCTATCAGCCTTGCTGCTACTTTTCATATTGGTTTGGGCCTGTGACCATATCAGTATTTCCCAACTGAAGAAACAAATTATATTCAGATTTATTATTACATCTAAGACCATCTCTGCTTCCTAAATCTAGTTGTACTGGCAACAATATTAGGTGGCGTATTTTGTGGCTTGCACAGGCCGTTAAAGTGGTCTTTTTGTTGATGGGACAACAAGGTGCAGGGCTGGATGAACACAGCAGGCCAAGCAGCATCATAGGAGCAGAGAGGCTGACGTTTCGGGCCTAGACCCTTCATCAGAAAAGGGGGAGGGGAAGGGGGTTTTGAAATAAATAGGGAGAGAGTGGGAGGCGGATAGAAGAGGGATAGAGGAGAGGATAGGTGGAGAGGAAACAAACAGGTCGAAGAGGCGGGGATGGGGCCAGGAAAGGTGAGTGTAGGTAGGGAGTTAGGAAGGGGATAGGTCAGTCCAGGGAGGACGGACAGGTCAAGGGGGCGGGATGAGGTTGGTCGGTAGGAGATGGAGGTGCGGCTTGAGGTGGGAGGAGGGGATAGGTGGGAGGAA